TTGATTGATCTATTTTTTTCGATTGATCGGATTTTAAATTTTTTGATTGATCACAATTTTTAATGGTTTTGATTGATCACTTTTTTATTGTTTAGATTGTTCGCATTTTTTATTGTTTCTATTGATCACATTTTTTTATTGTTTCGATTGTTAGAATTTTTTATTGTTCCGATTGATCGCATTTTTTCTGATTGATCACATTTTTTAAAAAATTCGATTTATTACTTTTTTTTCGATTGATCACATTTTTTAAATTTTTTCAATTTATCACATTTTTTTATTGATTACGTTTTTTTTAGATTGAATTTGTATTGTTTCGATTTATCACATTTTCTGTTTTTTGATTGATCTAAAAAATTTTTAAATAAATTTTCAATTTCTTGATTGATCAAACTTTTATATATTTATAGTTTCATTGCATTCTTTAATTTTTTTTTATTGACCCCATTTATTTTTTAATTGATCACATTTTTTATTTTATTTTTTTAATTGATCACATTTTTACACACAAAGACTCATATGAATGGCTCTTTTATTACACAACAAATGTCTTCACGCTTGCCTTGTTTTCCTCCTCCGAGCCTGAGGATGATGGACAGCAGTGTGTAATAAATCCAGTCTCCTCCAGAGTCTCGTGGTGATAAATTCACAGTCTCTGTTACTCCTGTGTCCCACAGCAGTATAAATCACACTTTTTTATTCACAGACACCCTTATTCACCTGTGCAAATGACTGGACATTCCTGCCTGCCCCATTTATCCATCTAATGCGTTCCCTCGCGGACCAGTATAATCATTTCATAAGAAACACCAGTGCCTTTCTTTGCAGATATTCCTCAACAGGACATCTGTGCACCTCAAAAATCACATTAAACCACATTCTTTGGCATTCTTGAGAGGTTGTGTTTAAAAATGTGGGATTTAACTGGAGTATTTGTTATTATTACCCATATCTCTGCTGTACCGATGTAAAAAGCAAGAGGCCAAGAACTGAGCCTTGAGGAACCCCATAATATACTATACTGTTTACTAATACAAATTGATAACGCTTTGATTGGTTAGTTTTAATGTTTTATGTATAAGCTAGTGCACAGATGTGTCTTTAGTCTTTATTTAAACACAGATATGATGTAAAATGCGAAGAACCAAGAACTTTAAATCATTAAGACTACTTCATTTACACGTTTAAACCACATTCGTTGGCATTCTTGAGAGATTGTGTTAAAAAAATATTTTATTATTGCTATGTATATGTTCATTCCGCTGTGGCGGTCCCGGATTAATAAAGGGTGTAAGCCAAAAAGAAAGTAAATGAATGAATAAAATTTATATTGTATTATTATTATCATTTAATTTAATTTAATTTAATTTAATTTAATTTAATTTAATTTAATTTAATTTAATTTAATTTATTTTATTTTATTTTATTTTATTTTATTTTATTTTATTTTATTTTATTTAAGTGGTTTATTCCGCTGTGGTGACCC